CAGTGTTGCATGACCGCGCATTTGTCAGTTAAAGTAACGCATCGACGTAACACAAAACTGCTTCTGTTACCGCTTCCTGACCGCCCTACAGCAGAAATACTGCTACAGGGCAGCATGGGTGCGCAAAATCACATATATATATATAGTGGGAACTCGCTTCCAGTGGTAGAGCTTTTCCTTTCAAAAGCACACAGCAACTCGCTTCTTTAAGGGCCTTTTTGCTCAATTTTATTTAAAAATAATGTTCCATAAAACATAAATGCTTCCCACGCAGGGGTATCCACCGTCAAGCAAAAACAACAAAGATTCAGCCTCCTGGCTTGTACGCAGTTTGATGTCTGTCTCCTGCAGACTCTTCCCAAATTATGGCTCTCGCACACAGCTGGCCACTAGCACACAGCTAGTCTGGCTTCCACCTCTCCTTGGTGAAGCCCACCTGACTCCAAAGCAGAGACCTCCTATCTGCCAGGGTGGAGCCCTCCTGACTCCTGTCTGCCGGGGTGGAGCCCAGAATTATGGGTTAGGCCTCTACAAAAGCCCTGCACCCACCTGTACAATCAGTATCCTGGCCATTACCAAAACCTGGTCCCAGGATTGGAGATTTATTCCCCCAAGATCTCTTTGAAATCTCCAGGCTCCAGATCCCAAAACAGACTTAATGAATAAATGAGGAAACCGAAAAGCCAGTTTCCTCTGCAATACATCAACCCTCTGGAGCCCCTCAACCTGCCTGGTTGAGAATCCAGGGTTTTCAGCTTTATTTTGACCGTGGCAGGACACCGCACTGCCACATATCCCCCCTTTGTTTTGACCCCGTAGGGGGCGGAACACACAAACCTAAACTCCTTGCTTTAGACCTTCTGTGCCGGCTTTCCCCTGTAAAGGTCCAATCCTGGCTGACTTCATTTTCATCAAAGGGAGACGCTACTACTACCTGCCCCAAGAGGTAACTTCCCCTGTCTCCCCTTACTTGGGCTCTACGACATCCCCGTGCCTTTTTTCGAGTACGCTTCCAAAAGCGCTGTCTTCCTAATTTCCTTGAGACTATACTAGTCCTTTTACCAGTGGGGGTTTTACAAGTCTCGGTACCCTTTGTAACCTGAGGTTGATGCCTAAGCTTTAAGTGCCAGGTACCTGTAACGTTACAACGTGCTCCCTCAATTTCCTCTAGACCAGCCCTTTTTGCTTTATTTAATGTTAAAGGGGATATATTTTTAAACCCTTTAGTAACAGACGTGGGTTCTTTTATTTGGGGATCAAACTCTTTTAATGTCACCTTGTTAAGCTTTGGGCCAGTTCCCTTAGACCTTTCATTCTAAAAAACTTGGGAGTTTACTGGACCTTTGGAAATCTTTCCCAAAATGACCTTCCTGACCCTGTAGGGGGCCTATTTTTAGACTCTTAACCTCTATTGTGCCTGTTAAGCACTCATTACCTCTTTCAGGACAACCAGCTACCAGGTCAACTTGACCACCAGGTCTATCATTCTTTTTGTTATCACACACAGTAATCAGACAATCCAAATTCATCAATACATTTCCCTTTTTATCATTATCAAAAATACTCTTGTCAGAGCTCATTTTACTAGTAATTGGCAGGGCAGTGTCTGGAAATGAATTACCCACAGTGGAGTGGGCATCTCCCATGGAAACGTCACTATCCACCGACTTCACTGTCACAAAAGACTGCCAGCAACTGTCCTGATGCCAAACCATCCTTACATAATTCTGCATTTGGGTAGATGACCCCAACCACATCACATATACATGTGTCTTCCAGCACTTCTGCCCAAACCTCTGTCCTTTCCAACAGTACTCTGGTGTGCCTCTCATACAGATTACTGCTATGAAGCAACCCAGCAATGCACTGAAAGACAATTTTCACCATTACCAACAAGGATGGTATCACAGAATTCCTATATTGACCATCTTTGTCTTGTATAGCCTGTAATACCCAGCTCCAATTAGCGGTACTCCGCTGTACCAGCTCTCCCGAACATGGAAGAGACAGCAAGGTATACACCGGCTGTACACTCCAGAAGGCTAACATTTCCCTCAGCAGGTCTGTTATAAAAACACAGCCCGATTCTACACATAAGACCTTCCTGGAGACATGGGGACACTCATTTACTGATGCCTCAGAGGTGGTGCTTCTTAAGGAGGCTTCCTCTCAGCTGGAGGTACCCAGTACAATAACCTGGGGCTCTCCCAGAGTGTAACCAGATGTGGGATTCACCCAAATACTCTGAGGCTCAGTGTCAATGAGCTCTTCCACAGCTTCTCTATGGATACGTTTGGTATACCACACCATTAACTCCTTCATGGGCTGTGGGCAAAACTTCTGCTGAGCGTTTATCCTCAATGGTGCCTTTTACCAGCGGTGGGTTAATCTTGGCAGCAACAGGTGCGCCCTGGACTAATAGCTGCTCCACAGTCCCTCTATTCAGCACAGCAGAAACCATGTCCACCCCATTGTTACCCACTGAGGCCTCTCTCATTAAAGCGAACAAGCTTGTTGTCCATCTATCCCAGTCCATCTTCCCTGTGATCCTATCAGAGGTACTATGCAGTACCACTCCAACCGCTGAAGGAGACACAGAGGGACAGAGTGGCTCTCTATCAGACCCATTACTTATATCTTCATTATCCATATCACACTGGGAGACTCCATTTCTAGGCACAGCAGGTTGCAATTTCATACTCTCACCACCGTGACCAAGTGGCGTGTCATTCACTACAAAATCTTTTGCATTAGTGGATTGCATTAACCCATCATCATTATGAATACGTTCATACCTTTTAGATTCACCATTGCCTGACTGAAATAGCAAATTCTCATCATTCAATTCAGATACACTCTGGTCCTGTCAGGGCAGGAGCCGAGGAACGGACAGGCAGGCCTAACAATGTAACACACTGGCTGACGACAACCACCACCCACAGACCGAAGTCCCTCAGGGCGCGGAGTCTAAGTCCCAGGCTGCCCTTCACCAGGGCCCCTGATGGTGGGGATGGACTTGACGCAGCCAGGAACCAGGTTGCGGCCCCCGAGACACCTCAGCTGCGGTAATGGCCGCCGCCAATGGCGTGTAGCTGGTGGAAGAGACAAAAGAGTAGTCAGACAGGCCGGGGTCAACAACAGCAGGACAAAACAGTACAGGACAGCAGACGAGAATCACAGGTCACGAGCCGGGTTCAGCAACAGAGGATCAGATCAAAGGAGAATACAAAGAATAGTCAAGTCACAAGCCGAATCAGATACCAGGAGAGTCACGAGAGTCAGAACAGAGTAATAGCAACACAAAGACACAAGACACAAGTGCAAAGAGCATGTGCGGGCCACAGGCTTATATGTCATGAGCCACGCCCCTCTGGGGGGTGGACCTCAGAGACCTGAAGGCATAAAAGGATTCCCACCATGCACAGCAGAATCCAAGATGGACGCCAGCACATGGAGTAACATAACCTCAGGGAAAAGGTAGGACCTTGACAGGTCCACCAGAGCAACACCATAGTTATCCTGGGTTACCTTAACCACCATTGCTAGGGGAGATAACACATCCTGCTTAGTGGTCACCCCTACTACATTTAATTCAGCATTCTGTTTATATGACATTGGTGCAACCCCAATATCAGTACTCTTCACATTGACATTTTTAACCTTTGCCTCCCCACTAAACAGAGCATTATACAGAGGCAAGTCTTTCTCACGATCACCAGCAGTGGGTTTCCCAACTGGGAGTATCCCAAATTTATAGCAGAGAGTCTCAAAGTCAGTCTCAATCAGTGCATTAGTATCTCCCACATTTATCTCAAAAGTACCAGTCTTACCCACCACTTCAACATGCTTCACCTTCACTTGAGTGCGTGGGATCTGGATCCTGTCATCTCCTCTGCTTGGCTTTGGCCAGCCAGTTCATCCATGCAGCTATAGGATGATATTGTGGCCGACACTTCTGACTCCTTGGCACCCCCTACAGGCACAACAGGTACTTCCTCACTGTTGCTAGAGGTGGCTGCCAACATTTATAAACACGAATCTGGGCTTGCAGATGAAGACTTTTGCCCAGTAGCACCCTCATCTGTGGTATTCCATATTCTGGGACAAGTAAAGATGCCATGCCCAAACTGACCACATTCCAGGCAGGGTATGGTTCCACAGATAACTTTTTTGGGATACAGAACCACATCTCCCTTGTAGCCCCTTCTCCTGGTTGGCAGGCTTTCTCCTGTTGCTATGGGAGATGGTACTCATCCCAGCTGAACTTTGTAGGTTCCTCTAGATGCGCTGAACTCTCATCTCTGTGTGCCACAATCCACTGCAGATGACACTTCTCTCACAAGGTCTGCAGGTCTGAAGTCACAGGTGTTGCTATGGGCAACCACATTCTTATGAAACTTTTGGGCAGCCTGTTGCTCCTTCCTGGAACTCCAAGCAGGCTTCCCAATTGCATACCCAGACCTTTGTCTGGTTGTGTCACCTTGTATTGGAAGCTGGGATAAAGGGCACTTGGAGACAATGTGCCCCCATTCACTGCACCGCAAACAGCGCTCTTGCGGCAGTATCTTGGCCGGACTTCCAACACTGCATCTTCTTTCAAGCTTTGTACTTTGCACACGGAAAGCTGGTTTCCTTTCACCAGTGTTGCCAGGGACAACAGCACACACTTCCCACTGTGGCAAACTCTGTTCCGCCATGTATGGGGCTCGTTCTGGTGATATCCCCTCCAGCCACAGGGCTTTGTCTCTCATTGCAGCAACTCTTGCTTCTTTTTTGAGTTTTGACTGCCCCATCTTTGTAGTCACTCCACAACACTTTTGCACAGTCCAGCAACCAAGCCAAGACATGAAGCACTGTCTCTTTAAGGCAAATTCCTTTTGTCTTGCAGGTTCTTCTCACCTGCACACACAGATAGTGCAGACTCATGCACCAAACACAGTTCAACAAATGAACTTCCTTCCTTGCTGGGATCTCTAGTTCTGCCCACATCCTCCACCATATGTGGGCACTTGCTTCCAGTGGTAGAGCTTTTCCTTTCAAAAGCACACAACAACTCGCTTCTTTAAGGGCCTTTTTGCCCAATTTTATTTAAAAATAAAGTTCCATAACTTAAATGCTTCCCACGCAGGGGTATCCACCGTCAAGCAAAAACAACAAAGATTCAGCCTCCTGGCTTGTACGCAGTTTGATGTCTGTCTCCTGCAGACTCTTCCCAAATTATGGCTCTCGCACACAGCTAGTCTGGCTTCCACCTCTCCTTGGTGAAGCCCACCTGACTCCAAGGCAGAGACCTCCTGTCTGCCGGGGTGGGAGCCCTCCTGACTCCTGTCTGCCGGGGTGGAGCCCAGAATCGTGGGTTAGGCCTCTACAAAAAGACCTGCACCCACCTGTACAATCAGTGTCCTGGTCCCAGGATTAGCGATTTCATCCCTCCCAGATCTCTTTGAAATCTCCAGGCTCCAGATCCCAAAACAGACTTAATGAATAAGTGAGGAAACTGAAAAGCCAATTTCCTCTTTGCAATACATCAACCCTCTGGAGCCCCTCAACCTGCCTGGTTGAGAATCCAGGGTTTTCAGCTTTATTTTGACCGTGGCAGGACACCGAACTGCCACTATATATATATATATATATATATATATATATATATATATTGTGACAGTAGGCAGGTGAAATCACCTGGTTGCCTCCTGGATGGACGATATATTTGTCCGAGGTTCAGGCTTTATGGGGATTTGTACCACTAGAGGGAAGTGCTGAGTCCTTCAGCACTGAGGTAATGATGAGCCCAGCTGAAGGTAGTGGGCTCATTAACACCTGTATAAAACTTCCCAGAGTGCTTAGGGAGTTGCTCCACCCTGGAACCAGATCTGTGCCTGAACTGTCTGGGGAGCTGACCTCTTATCTGTGTGCAAAGAGACCAAAGCCTGTGTGGCTAGCCTTCAAGTACTAGCAACTAGGTATAGCAGCAGGCTGTACCTAGTGGGTAGCTAGGGAAAGCGGTTGTTGCAGTAAGTAGCCAAGTTGGCCAGGATTTATTTTGTTGTTTCTTTTTGGTTTACCATTTTTCTGTAAATATTGTAAATAAATTGCACCTGTTTGTTTTCACCTCCACTGTTGTTGTGCTGTGCCTGTCTTTTTGTGTTGTGCACCCATCCAGGGGGTCACACACACCCGCTGCCGAGCCCCTTACAATATACTGTATATATACACATACATGATTTGCGCTCCCGTGGTTTTCACGCCCCTCCCAGATAGTGTCACATTGCCCATCAGTACACCAGTCATCACATTTAACCCCTTGATTTCCAGAGCACGCTCATGCACAATAAACCTCCATTGCTAGTATAGTTTCTGAATGGATCAATATCTTTGATCAGATCAGCACTATACCAGCGTTCACATTAGTATAGCGTCCCCTAAAATGCAGCGTTAGCGGGATCAGCCCGGCACCTGCCAGCACTTGCGTTTAGCACCTACGCTTACCCCCCCTTCTCCCCCAGCAAGTGCAGTGTCAGTAGGTCACTGTCACTTGATACATTGCACACAAAACCGCAGTGTTCGCAGAATCAGGCCTGATCTCTGTTAGCACTTGCTGGTAAATTTTGATGACTCTAATATGCAGCAGAGTGCCAGTACTAGTGCTTCTCTACCTTTTGGTGAACTGGCTAGAACATCTTGGTCTTTCACATATGTCCTTTATTTTTTAAGCTGTTTTTCACGGAATACTGTATCTGTATGCGTTGATTGTGGATCAAAGCAATTTATATGCACAACAATTTATCGCCACCAACCCAAATTCAAACCTTGCAGAGACCAGTCGCATGGAAACTCATTACGATTTCCAAATTTACACTTTTTTGGGCCTAACCCTCAACATGGGCATTACTAAAAGAAATGAATTGCGGTTGAATTGATCCGATTCATCATATGCCCGTGTTCTCTGCTGCCATGGCCAGGCATAGATATGAGAGTATAATGTATTTTATGCATTTCAACGACAATACACTCTGTCATCCTCGGGGATGAATTTGACCGGCTTCACAAAATTCAGCCACTCGCAAATCACCTTAACCAAAAATTTACAGATGTCTATACTCCCCAGCAAAACATCTGCATTGATGAGACCCTCATTAATTTTTCTGGCTGCCTTGCATTCAAACAATTTCTCCCCAGCAAGTGTGCCAGAAATGGGGTCAAGATGTAGAAGATCTGTGAGAGGACAACAGGCTATACTTATAAGTTTCGAATTTACAAGGGAATAGATAGTCACGTGGAGCCCCCCCAGATGCCCAGACTACATGGGGAGTAGTGACAAGATAGTTTGGGACTTGGTGTCATCCTTTTTCCATATGGGGTACCACTTATACGTGGACAATTTTTATTCAAGCGTGCCACTATTTAGACATTTGTACACTCTTGGAACTGGCACTTGTGGCAAAGTGTGACCTAATGTGTGTCCACCATTAGAAGTGGGTGGATGCAGGGTGGTATATTCTAATGGTGGGCATACCAGACACTTTTTTTTGGCAGAAATTTCTTCTCTTTTTGTCATTCAGTCCACAAGCTGCATACAAAAAAAAAGAACATAGCATATACACCCAACAAGGACCAGCGATGTACTGGTACATCACTGGACTTTGAATGGATGATGCCTACAGCTGCAGGCATCATCCTGGTATAGTTTTTTTCAGCCGGCGATCAGCGTTCCTGTAAAAGCAATCTTAGTGGCTAATTAGCTGCAGGATTGCTTTTACAAGCAGTGGGATATGATGCCCCCCCTCCCCCGCTGCCTTCCACGGCCTTCAATGGGCAGTCCCGTGCCATCGGAGGAACCTGAGAATGCAGCCGGTGTTTCTGCCAGCTGACCATAGGGCTGATTGGAGACCAGAGTGGTGCCAATCATCTCTATAGTCTAAGAATTCGGAAGCTACGAGCATTTCATCACTTCAGTTTCGCAGGATATAAACAGCGCCATTTGTAAATTGGGAAAGCATCTGATCACACCGATTTTGGTTTGATTAGATAATGTAAGGGCAGAGGAGATATCTAGAGCCTGATAGACCCCAGATTTCTCAAAAAAGAATATATGAAAATGCCCATTGATGTTATAGGAGATATTTGCATTGCCTGTGATAGCATTAAAGTGATACAAAAAAAATGAAATTTACAGTGTAAAAATAATTTTAAAAAATCAAAATAACTTAAAAAAAAAAAACTCACCCCTACCATGCACACACACCTGTGTGCACAAGCATTGACCATGTGCCGGTATGTAAACAGCGATTGCACCATACATGTGAATTTCGCCGTGAACGTCAGATTAAGGGCAGTAATTCTAACACTAGACCTCTTCTGTAAATCTAAAATGGTAGCTTTTAAAGGCTTTTAAAGTGTTGCCTATGGATATTAAAAATGTATGCAGTTTGTCGCCATTGCATTGTTTTAAAGCATGTCATGTTTGGTATCTATTTACTCGGCACACCATCATCTTTTATATCTTAACAAATAATTGGACAATATATTGTGTTTTTGTGCACAAGTAAAAAAAGTGTTTTTTTTTTTAATTGCCTTAGAAAAATCACTGTGCGAGTACTATGTGCCATAAAAAATTGTAGTACCCACCATTTTATTCACTAGGGTGTCTGCTTTAAAAATATATATAATGTTTGGGGGGTTTAAATTAATTTCCTAGCAAAAAATACAGATTATTTTATGTGAACAAAAAGTGTCAGAAAAGGCTTGATCTTCAGGTGGTTAGAAGAGTGAGTGATGTGTGGCATAAACTTCTAATGCTGGGCATAAAACGCTCCACCCCCCAAAACGACCCCTTTTTGGAAAGTAGACACCCCAAACTATTTGCTGAGAGGCATGTTGAATCAATAGAAGAATTTATTTTTTTACCACAAGTTTTTGGAAAATGACAAATTTGTTTTTTTTTTTACACAAAATTGTCACTTGAATGATTTACTGCTCATACATGCCATGTGGAAAAAATACATTCTGCTACTTCTCCTGAGTATGGGGGTACCACACGTGAGAGACGTTTTGGCAGTCTAGCCAAGAACAGGACCCCAAAATCCAATAAGCACCTTCAGGCTTTTAAAGGACTTTATTTCCTCATTACACTTAAAGACTACTTATCACAGTTTCGGAGGCCCTGAAATGCCAGGATAGCAACAACTCCCCCCCCCCCCACCAAATGACCCGTTTTTGGAAAGTAGACACCCCAAGGAATTTGATAAGAAGCATGGTAAGTATTTTGCAGATCTCATTTGTTTCCACAAGTTTTTGGAAAATAAAAAAAAAAAACAAAACATATTTTTTTCAAATTTTTTTTTTTAATTTCAAAACCTTGTGATCTGCAAAATTCTCACCATGCCTCTTTTTAAATTCCTTGGGGTGTCTACTTTCCAGAAAGGGGTCATTTGGGAGGGGGGAGGGGGTTGGTGCTACCCTGGCATGTCAGGGCCTTCAAAACTGTGATAGGTATTGAGGAAGTGAAATGAGGAAGTTACGCACCTTCAGGCTTTCAAAGTGGTCATTGGATTTCAGGCTCCTGTATGTGGCTAGGCTCCCAAAAAGTCTACACATGTGGTATCCCCATACTCGGTAGAAGTAGCAGAATGTATTTTGGGGTGTAATTTCCACATATACCCATGGCTTGTGCGAGAAATAAATCATTTAAATGACAACTTTGTGTAAAAAAAAAACATTTTGTCATTTTCCAGAAACTTGTGGGAAAAAAAATAAATTTTACATGGACTCAATATGCCTCTCAGCAGATAGCTTAGGGTGTCTACTTTACAAAAAGGGGTCATTTGAGGGTGTTTGTACTATACTGGTATTTTAGCACCTCAAGAAATGTGATGGGCAGTCAGAAAGTACAAGTTGTGTAAATTCCATTATCTATGCCATAGTTTGTAGACACTATAACTTTCAAACAAAGCAATAAATATAACTTACTGGGATTTTTTTTAACCAAAAACATGTAGCAGAATACATTTTGGCCTAAATTTATGACGAAATTTTTTTTGTTTTTTTGGATATTTGAGAAATGAAAGAAAATATATATATATATATTTTTTTTTTTCTTCAAAAATTTTTTTGTTTCTAGCGCCAAAAATAAAAAATGCACAGATGATCAAATACCACCAAAAGAAAGCTCTATTTGTGTGACAAAAAGGACTAAAATTTCATTTATGTACCGTATTGCATGACCACGCAATTGTCCGTTAAACTAGCACAGCGCTGTATAGCAAAAAAATAGCGTAAATTGCAGTATCTATACCATAGTTTGTAGACAGTATATAACTTTCACACAAAGCAATCAATATACACTTATTGGGACTTTTTTTA